TTTATGAATGTTTTAAATTTTTGTAGCAGCGTTTAATTTATATACTAAAGCTTTAAATTATTAATGTGAATAAATATAAATAAAACATGTTAAATCTTTATTTTTTTTTCAAATGATCTAATAAAATTGATTAATATATTTATATTGTTCTAATAATAATATTAGGTGGGTCGGAATTTAGAATTGATAAAAAAATACTTTGTGTGTTCACAACTGATTATTAATCAGTAGTCGGTATTTAATCATTTTATTAGTACACCCACTAATTATTTTTTTTTTATTTAGATCTCACAACAAATTTTCTTATTAATTTATTGGAAAAAAATAATATTGATATTGGAAAAATTTGGTTTTTCAAAAATTATCAACAATTTTCTATCGAATATAATAATGAAAGATTTTATTTTGCTATCCTTAATAAAAATATCAAAGCTTTTAAAAAAAATTGTGGTGAATTAGTAGAATATTCTGATTCATTTATCGAACATGAACATCTTCATTTTTTAATCAGTAATAAAGGATTTTCACATCATGTAAAAAAAATATTGTAGATATGGTAAAATATCAATGTTGTTATTCAAAAATAATCAATTTAAACAAATTAATAATTGTGATAGAAACAAAGAAATAATTGATATAATTTGTAATTTATAATAATTTAATTTAAATTTATCTTGTATTTTTTTATGATAAAAAAAAATAAATCGTGATCTCTCTTAATAAATTTATAATGTAAATATTATAATTATGGATATTTAGAATATCTTTCTTGTAATAATTTTAAAATTCTAACATGTATATGATTCGGTAACTTATATGACGACACGTTATCAAGTATCTTATTACTTTCCTCGTTACTTTTTATTTTTTCTATTTCTTTTTCGTAATATTTCATTAAAACCTCAATCAATGTTTCTTTTTGATCATCATCCAATATTCTACTATTTAATATCATGTTAAATATATTATTTTCCTTATTTTCCCGTTTATCAATTCTATAAGATTTTATTCTATCTCTCAATTCTCTTTCTAATTCAATTGCTAGTGAAAGAATCATATTAAATAATCTTGATATATGTATGGGAAGGAGTTTTTTGAATTTGATAAGATGAGTGAATTGATTTATTTTGTTAGTAATAATATTAATT